AAGCAATGAGATCTGCTGAGATAATGTTAAAAGGACAGGATGACCTTATCAATTATTACCAAGTTGTCTTCCTAGCTCTCATCTGCTGGAAGGACTTTTCCTTGCTATAGGGAAGCTGGATGTGTCAGGAAATTTTAGAAGTATTTCTAAAATTTTACAAGGAAAATTTTAGAAGTATTTAGGTTTGTTGAAAAGGAGAAAATTCAGTAGGTGTACCTAGGCTAGACTGATTGTAACATAATAAATAAATTATAGTCTGTTGTTGACTGTGTTTATGACTTCTCTCTGGCCATTAAAATTGGTTAAATAAAATAATTATACTGCACACCTCTTGGGATGTCTGCGTGGCTCCTTGCTTTCTCAGGAAATTGTGCTGATACTTAGGGATGTTTCAGATAGGAATCACGTGGTCCAGCCCTCCCATCAGAGCTGATTAACCAGAAGAGGACATCTGTCCCATTCAAGGGCAGGCAGGGTCTCTTCTGTTAGTACTGAACAAGAGGCTGAGGGATGTTGACGTTGAGTATCATCAGTGACCATGCCCACCTGCTGCTGCTGGCCCCAGAAATTCTCTGTTTCTTCCTCTTCTTGGTAGTTATTGCTCACCTCTTCTCTGCTTTCATGAAATTCCCTGGTAGCCTTTCAGTATATCCTTCACTTGGCTTAAGTGTCTCAGAATGGTTTTCTATTACTTGTAATCCAAGGTACATTTTTTAAGTGTCCATTGAACTTTCAAAATTCTGATGTTCTGTGACTTAATGAAGTCATTAACCTGCAGTGTCATTAACCACAGAAAGTAGGCAGGTATGGCACTGGTAAGTGACTGCAGTGTTGACAGTCCTTGCAATGATGAAACAGGCTTTTAATTAGGCAAACTTGCACTTGTTGCATATGGGGAACATTTTTGTTTTGTTTTGGTACCAGGGATTGAACTCAGGGACACTTGACCACTAAACCACATCCCCAGTCTTATTTTACATTTTTATTCAGAGATGGTTTCACTGAGCTGCTTATTGCATTGCTTTTGCTGAGTCTGGCTTTGAACTTGTGATCCTCCTGCCTCAGCCTCCAGAGCTGCTGGGATTACAGGTGTGCGCCACTGCATCTGATATTTTATTTTTTAATTTTAAAATTTTTTATATTTTTGGCACCAGGGATTAAACCCCAGGGCTGTTTACTACTGAGCCACATTCCTGACTCTTCTTATTTTTTATTTTGAGACAGGGTCTTGCCAAGTTGCTTTAGAGCTTTGCTAAATTGCTGAGGCTGGTTTCCAATTTAGGATCTTCCTGTCTCAGCCTCCTGAGCCTCTGGTATTAGAAGTGTGCTCCACGGTGCCCAGATTGTTTAATTGTTTTTATTAGAGGAGTAAATGATTTTTATAGAAAAAGATTTTAGTTCCATTGTAAAAAATAAGTGTGAAAAATAAGTCATATTCCATTGTAAAAAATAAGTCATATTTGCCAAGACACAATGTCAAAGGCACTATAATTAGATACATACTGAATCTAATGAGTTGAATGCATTCTATAATAACCAATATCCAATAAGTGTTGGTTTATCACTTAAACCTCATGAGACAGTATTTCACTGTACTGACTAAATGCAGTGGATATTTTGAGAGGAACTGGTGCTCTCTAGTTAATTATCCTTGACAATCCTGAATATTATAAAGTTTGAACTCAAAGTACACATATTTTCCTTATATACCATACAATATAATTGGATACAGTTTAGGGATCCTACATACAGTGTAGTTATCAAGTGCCTATCAAAATATCTTTAGAATGAAAATGCCCAACCAGAATACCAAAGTTTAGAAGTGCAATTGACTTTTTAATATGACACTTATTAATCATGGATTCTTCATGTCTTTTAAAAAGTTATTGTTGTAGATTTCCTAAAATGAAAGGCATGCCACTCAGTGGATGGGAAGCAGTATTGCAGGAAAGAAATGGCCAAGATTACATTTATGATACTGAAGTTAGGACTTTGTCATTTGAGCCAGGGAGATGGATGAGCAAACTAAAGAAGGGATATGAGAGTTGCTCTAGAATTAACCTGATGATTAATATTAGTGGCATGACCACAAAGTTTGTATTAATAGAGGCACACACTGCTGAAGGAAGCATTTATTCATTTATAACATAGTTCTGAGCCAGGGATGATTTTGTGCCCTTCCCCCTGCCCACTCTGGGGACATTTGGCAATGTCTAGAGATATTTTTGGCTGTCACAACTGGTATGTGTGTGTGTGTACGTGTGCATGTCCACACTACTGGCATTTAGTGCTACGGATTCTGCTAAATATCCTATAATGCATAGGATGGCCCCCTACAACAAAGAATCCTTCAGCCCAAAAAGTCAACAGTGAAGCCTCTGAGAAACCTAGCTTATAAAAATTAGTTTTACATGTTTTTGAACTCAAAAGTAGTTCAAATAGATCTTGTCAGAATTCTTTAACAGATATTAATACAATTAGACCACTTTTGTTTCCTAATGAATAAATTATACTTTATAATTTGGATTCATTTTTATCAGCAGTAAGTATTCAATTTTGTAAACTAATTTCAGAATTCAGGAAAGTTTAAATTTCCACATGTAATTTCCTCACATCTTGCCTTTCCTCCTTATTGATTCAAAGTTCTCCCTCCTTCTATTCCCCATTTTTTTTCTGCTCTGCCCCATTTCATTAGACTAAATGCACTGACCAAAAGCAAATATGATAAGCAAATTTAAAATATGGATAGAATCTGTCTTTTTTGTGATATCACTATTCCTTTTCTTTATATCTTTTCTAAAAATAAGCTTTAGGCAGAAGTACCCAAGCTTATTTCTATAGTATTGAAATGATCAAATTACTTGTCGACTCTGATGTGATTAATTCCTTTCTGTTGGAATTGATTTGTTTTAAGGTGACTAAAATGCTTGATTTACTGTCTTAAAAATAATCTTGGCCAGGAGCCCTAGTGCATACTTGTAATCCTAGCTGGAGGCTGAGGAAGGAGAATAGCAAGTCCAAGGCCAGCCTGGGCACTTTAATGAGATACTGTCTCAAAAAAACAAACCAAGCCAAACCAAACCAAAAAAGGGGCTGAGGATGTAAGTCAGTGAAAAACAAAAACAAACAAACAAAAAAACAAAACAACTTTGGTATTTTACACTGCTGCCCTACTGGTTTTAATAACAAATTATACCCCGGAATGATACCGAACAGACACTTGTCTTAGAGATGTAAGGATTATTTTATATAATTCTTTCTTATAAGTTCAAGGATGAAACATATTTTGTGAAATTTAAGACTGTTAAAGTATTTAAAAAATTAGGAAATAATATCCAAGTTCTTCCCCTAAATTCACTATAATTCCAAAGAAGGCAACCTATGAAAAGAATGGAAAGAATTGATTTAAACATAAAGGTATAAATAAATACAGGTGTTTCTTCTTATTATTTAGTCTTACTAGAAAGCATGCTACAGTTTTAAAAAACTTTCTCTTGGGCTGGGGATGTGGCTCAAGCGGTAGCATGTTCGCCTGGCATGCACGGGGGTGCTGGGTTCGATCCTCAGCACCACATAAAAATAAAATAAAGATGTTGTATCCCCAGAAAACTAAAAAATAAATATTAAAAAAATTCTCTCTCTCTCAAAAACAACAACAAAAAACTTTCTCTATAGGAACTTCCTTAAAAACCACAGATGAAAAGTATTTTAACAAGTCTACTCTTCCATGATAAGTAATAAAATGTAGAAATCTGTTCCAATTTTCCTGTTTTAAACATTGAGTGTTTATGATAGTGCTTCTGACATCTGGGAGAATGCTTGGTTTAGAACAGGCATGCAAAAAAATTGTTAAATAATTTTAAATCAATGGTTAAATATTTAGATAAAAATAAAAAACCAAGGAGAGTTTCTCTTCCAGCACATACTCCCACGCGGCTGTTACCTACTTAGTAGCTGATAGTCTTTGTATTTTCATTTTCCTGGTGCCAGCATGATCTGTTGGCATGTCAAATAAAACGTGCCAAACTCGACTTTTCTTTTTACCCAGATCACTCTTCTTTCCTAGTTCTCTTTGCGATCATAATGTTATTGCTCATTCCTCCTTCCCTTGACAAATGATGCTTCTTTGCTGACTTTACAGGTGGAGATGACCAGCCCTATTCTGCTCCTAGGGCACCTGGGCCTCTATTCCTGCTGCTCTTGGCTTCCCCTATCTTTTTCTTGGATGGGTGAAGATTCTCGGATTTTCCCTGTCTCTAGTGTTCTCACCAAATTTCTTCCCTTGTTGCTTGACTGTACCTCCATCCTCCGCAAAACAACCCGGGTCTGCACAATGGTTAAGAATAAAGGATTCTGACTTGGATAGGCCTGAGCGCAATGTAGCGATTAATCTGAGGTTTAATTATAGGGCCAAGTCACTTGTTTTAATGACTGCTGTCCAAGGACTTAACTTCGTTTTCAACCTCACTTCTCACTTCGTTGTCTGACAAAATACCTCCCTCCTTCACCTAACTTCCAGATCTGCCCCAGCTTTTAAAGTACAACTCTTTTGTCACTCAGCCTCTTCTCTGGAATAATCTTTCTCTCACGAACTTTGACTATTTTTTTTGCGTTAAAAACATTTTTTTTTTCCCTGTTGGGAAAGAGCAACTTTCATAAGACTAGAATGTTGTTTTATTTTGTATATCTAATAAGTCACAATGTGACTTGCAATGGGATTGCTCAATAAAAGGTGAATGACATCAGTTAACATAAAGAAATGTGACCGTGAGCGTCTCCCCAAGAGGGCCCAGCTTCGCTCATCTGCGCTTTCTCTCGAGCCTGGCACGATCAGGTTCAACACCAAGAAGACACTGAACCCTTATTAGGAGAATAAGGCAGCCGGCTCGCCGCGTTCCCGCGCCTGAGACTCCCGGACGCGCCGCCCCGCCCCTCGGCGCGCCGCCCCGGGCTCCAGGGCGCACGCGCAGGCGCCAGCCGGCGCGGCGGGCGCGCGGCCGCGGCCGTCCCCTCCCCCACTCCCACTGCGCCGGAGGGGAATCCGTCACCGCGGCTGCTCAGGCCGCCGCGGTCGGTCGTAGCCATGGACTCTTCGTGGGAGGATCTGACGCTGGCCTTCTCCCGCACGTCCATGTTCCCCTTTTTTGACATCGCCCACTATCTGGTGTCCGTGATGGCGCTGAAGCACCGGCCGGGTGAGTGTGGGCGCTGCGGACCCGCCCCCTCAGCTTCCAGTCGCGGGGATGACGGACTCGGTCCAGGGGCAACCGGGGGCCGCTGTCCGGGAAGGATCCGGTAGTCTAGTGGGAGGGCGCCCTGAAACTGCCTGGCTGACCCCCCCTTTAGTACAGAAGGGAAACTGAGGCCGGGAGGGCGGAGGCCGGGTACTAGACCGTGGAGGCTAGGCGCCGCTTCCGTGGCTTACGGGGTTGGCGGGGCTCCCGGGCCGGTGCGGAAGCCGCTGCCGCGCGGTCGGTCTCCTGGTGGTACCAGCGCTTCCCTGGACGGCGTTTCAAAGTCACCGGAGAGCTAAGCTCCCAGTCCCCGCACGTCTCCGACCTAGCCTCCGGGAGTAAACAGGTGGTCCTTGCCTGTTGGGAAAGTTGTGCAAACACGTGAGCCGCAGGCCTCCCCTTGGTGGGCACACTGATGTTCCCCTTAACGCGGTGTCCTTCTTGACACCTGCTCAGCACGTTAGGATGACTGTCAGAAGCCAGTGATTCCTGTTTTCATTGTCACCAGTGACTTTTGTACAAGTGAGAGTCGCTGGGCATCTAGTTTCACACGACTCTGTGGAGTGGGGATGTGGTCTTGTGGTTTGAAGACCTTTGGAGCTGTTAACCAAGGAGCAGTATTTCTATTTTCTATCTTACATTCAGGATATTTGCTCCTATATTGGTTTACTTTTGTTGTTATTCCACCTTCCCTTTATATTTTGTGCATCTCCTCTTTCAAGAGGCCAAGCATTTCTGTCCATTTTCCATGTGTTCATACCATCTTTAATCCGTCTTGTTCTACAAATAGTTGATGAGTGAAGATTTGAGGTTGATGCTGTATCTCTCCTAGATATTACTGGTTGTCTCAATTTTTGGAACTTAGAGTATTTTTTTTTTTAAACTTATATTGGAGTTTGTAACTCAGTCTGAATCAATTGTTTGGTAGAGATTTTGACCTGGACAAGGGTAGTATTACTATACTAATTAATGTAGGATAGATAATCTGTATACGACACTGCTTCCTTAGTTTGAAAGGAAGTACATTTTGTTACTGCCCCATACTCAGAATTTGATATTTTCTTGCATTGGGTAAAAGGTTCTCAAAGTATGGTTGAGGAATCCACAGGGTTCTCTGACACTAACTTGTTAAAATTATATTCACAATAATATTCAGGTATTATTCATTTTTTTCACTGTGATTTTTTTACATGTGTACAGTGGAGTTTTCTAAAGACTACATGACTTATAAATTGTGATACTGTAAGAGATTGAAGAGTATAAGAATCCTGCCAGCTGTTTTCTGTTTGAAGCCAGACATTAAGGATTTGCTACAACAGAAAACAGTGTACTTTTTCTCACTAATTGATTTTAGCTTTGGAAAAAAAGTCATTTTTCATAAAGAATCTGTTAACATTTAGTGCATGTATTATTTTTAAAATGAATATAGAACCCCCCCCCCCCCCCCTTTTTTTTGGTGGCGGTAATAGGGATTGAATCCAGGGCCTTGAAGGTGTTAGGCAGGCGCTCTACCATTGACCTTGTGTCTTTAGCCCATAAAGAACTATTTTGAAATTCTCTCAGTTACAATTTGATACTTGTAACCCCCATGAACAAAAGTTCTTTGGGGTTCTCAAGAAATGTTTGAAGGGCTGGGGTTGTTGCTCAATGGTAAGCTCACCTGCATGTGTGAGGCACTGGGTTCTATCCTCAGCACCACTTAAAAATAAATAAAATAAAGATATTGTGTCCATCTACCCCCCCCCCCCCACAAAGGCTTTGAAGTCAGTTATTTTTAAAGGTATAATTTATATACAGTATATTTTTTTTTGAGAGAGAATTTTTTTTAATATTTATTTATTTTTTTTAGTTTTCGGTGGACACAACATCTTTATTTTTATATGTTGCTGAGGATCGAACCTAGTGTCCCGCGCATGCCAGGGAGGGCACCCTGAAACTGCCTGGCTGACCAATGAGTTTATACCGCTTGAGCCACAACCCCAGCCCAGTATATTCTTTTTAATATAAAAATTTAACATTATCATATATAAAATATATTAATTTTAATATAAAGTTCTATGATTTTGAAAATAGTCTTATAACCACCATTACAATCAAGATGTAGAACATTTTGTTCACCTACCCCAGATTTCCTTCTGCTCCTTTGTAGACAGTCCTCCTTTAACTCCTGGCAACTATTCATTAGCTTAAAATTTTTAGTGTATAAAGGGGTCAGAGTCCCCCAAAATCTGAGAATTACTTGGATAAGTGAATGCTAATATAGTGTTATATAGAGAGTAACAAATATTTTTTTCTAGTACCAGTCCTTGTAAAGAGGTAAAAATGATAGAATTCACATGAGTGTACCTGTTTGTACTTTCCCTGGAAATGTGTTAGACTCCTTATTTCCTTTGACATTGTTGACTATTTTCAGTCCTCAGTACCTTGTCATTTTCATGCTCAGAAAACAGTTTTCATTTGCATTTGTCAGGGTTACTAATGAGTTTATACTTCTTAGGTTTATTGAACACTTGTATTTCATGGCTGTAAGTTTCTTAATATCTTTTGACCATTTTTTTCCTATTGGGTTGTAGGTTGTTGTCTAATTGTATTAATTTTCTTTATGTATCATGGGTGGCTAATTGAATTTGTTTTCCTCCAAGACCTTTATTAAGCCTCTAGACTGTCTGTAATTTTGCTTATTTTCTTTATTTAGCCTTTCAGTTTTTCTGAGTTACTGAAATCCTTCAAGTGAATTCTTTTTGGCTTAAGTTTGTCATAGGTTTTTTTTTGTTTGTTTGATTTTTACTTGTAGCCAAGAACCCTGTATTTTATAGCCTCTATATTGAGGAGTATTGATATAAAGTGTTTAATACTGGTGATTATAGTGAGTGGCTTTGTTGTCATGATTTTAATGAGAATATTTTTAAAGTTTCATCAAATGTGATGTTTTACTGTAGGGTTTTAAGAGGCATAGTTAACAGTTTTATTTTAATCTTAACTTTCTAGGTTGTCCCTATGTCTTTATCACCATCCTGGTGGAGAAGGTGACAAATTTTGTTAATGATTCCCCCCCCCCCCAGAAATCCATTGAGATGATCATTTGTATTGGTTTTTCTATTTAAAAATGTAATGGGCATGGTAGCTTAGGCTTGTAATCCCAGCAATTCTGGTGGCTAAGGCAGGAGGATTATAAGTTAAAGAATAGCTTGGACAATTTACCAGGACCTGTCTCAAAATTAAAAAGAGCTAGCGATATAGTTCACTAGTAGAGCACCCTGGGGTCAATCACCATTACTAAAAGGGGAAAAAATGTAGTGAAAAGATATTCATAGATATTTAAAAAATGATGAACCATTCCTATATTTTAGGAATAAACTTTACTTGTTTGATGTATTTAGTTTTCAGGAATTTTGATTGCTAATACTTTATTTAAACTTTTTGTATTTATGTTTATAATGGGAATTTGCCCATCAAATCTTTTTCTACTCTGGGTATCAAGGTTATGCTGTTTTTGTAAAATAGATTGGGAAGCTTTCCACTATTTTATATTTATTATTTATTTTTAGCTCAAGATAGTTTATTTAATGGGCATTCCCTATACTTTTTTTTTTTTTTGGAGAGGGGGTGGTACTGGGGATTGAACCCAGTGATGCTTTATTATTGAGCCATGTTCCCACCCTTTTTTATTTTTTATTTTGAGACAGGGTCTTGATAAGTTGCTTAGGGCCTCATTGAGTTGCTGAGACTGGTTTTGAATTTGCGATCCTCCTCCATCAGCCTCCTGAGCTGCTGGGATTACAGGCATGCATGCACCACCATGCTTAGCTCATTACTTATTCCTAGGTATTTGTTTTAGTCAGCTTTTTCAATGCTGTGACCAAAAAATTTGACAAGAACAATTTTAGAGGAGGAAAGTTTATTTTTGCACTGATTGTTTCAGAGGTCTCAGTCCATAGATGTGTGACTCCATTCCTCAGGGACCAGGTGAGCCTGAATGGGAAGAGTATGGTGGAGGAAACTTTCACTCAGGACATGGCCACTAATAAGCAAATAGAGAGACTCCACTCTCCAAGGACAAAATATATACCCAAAGGCACTCCCAGTGACCCACTGCCTCCAGCCATACCACCCTATACCTGCCTAAAGTGACAGGTAGTTAATACTTATTAGGATTCATCATGGTGTAGGTTAAGACTCATAATCCAATTATTTCACCTCTAAGCTTTTTGTGTTCTTACACATGAGCTTTTGGGGAACAGTGTTTATATAAACCATAAACAGTATTCAATAGACTTAAAATATGAAGCTGTTTCTTGGTCCATTTTAATGAGTAAATCTTTTTTTTTAATAAAAAAATTCAGTCTTAAGTCATTTTTGGCAATTTACATTTCTCTCAGGAATCATTTGTTTCCTTTAAATTTTGAAGTGTATTGGAGTAAATGTGAACATTATTTCTAGAAAATTTCTCTGGATTCATTAGTAGTTGATTCTTTAAAAATTTTTTTAATGTATATATATTTTTAGCTGTAGTAGGACACAATACCTTTATTTTATTTATTTATTTTTTTATGTGGTGCTGTGGATGGTACCCAGCGCCTTGCATGTGCTAGGTGAGCGTTCTACCGCAGAGCCACAACCCCAGTCCCTAGTAGTTGATTCTTAAATGTTATACACTTTAATTTGACTCTTCTGGATCTTTTTTTCTTATGTCCAGTGATAAATTTTTATAGCCTCTGATTTACCTTTTTTTTCTTCTAACTCATTTAGATTAAGATATGTTTGTCCAGATTCTTGTTGGTAGCAGCAAGTAGCTTATATGCTCTCTTTATATGTGGTTAGCTAGACTTTTTCATATTTAGAACTGAAGAGTGGATATGTGGTACTTCCAGTCCAATGCCTAGTTTCTCTTAGTTTTACTTAGTATATATATATATATATATATGCTCTGCTTAACTGGCAACTTTTCTTATCCCCCAGAG